AGCTGCATGCTAGCTTAGGGCGTATGTAGGTGAAATGGGGTCCCTAAATTGAACTGGTGGGTTTAAAAACCCACCAGTTCAATTTAGGGTGAAGTAAACCCCCGTGTCATACACACACCCTGCACTTACCTGCCTCTGGCGGCAGGGAGGGGAGGTTGAGCTGCCGGCAGGAGGAGCGGTCCCTGGGCTATGAGGCGGGGGGCTGGTGCTTCCCTCCACAGCAGCAGCAGCCCCACCCAGGCAGAACCCACCCGCAGGCACCTGGCATGGGTGGTCCTGGGGGGCACCTCAGCCACGGAGGGAAGCACTGGGCCCCTGTGCAGCTCAAGCAGGCAGGCAGGCTCCGGGGAAGGGGGGCGGGAAATCAGGCTCACTGCTTTCCTGGGCTGCTGCCAGGCTCCCTGCAGGGATTCTTGCAGAGCCGTGGAGCTGCACGAAGCCCCAGGCTTCACTCTGCGGCTGTAGGGGCAGCAAATTAAGACACCTCCTTGGAGTTTTATTTTGCTGCACCCCAAGTCATTTAAGGCACATTATGCCACTGAATTTCCTACAGTGGCTGGAATTAATGCACAATATGCTGCCAAGGCATGCAAATACCAATACAATTAAAGCAGTGCAAAAGCATTTAGCCCGCTTTAAAGTGTTGTGCACACACACCCTTCATTTTGTCTACTCACGGCCTTAGGCATTAGTGCTTTAAATGTAGGTATAGGACCCCTTCATAAAGTAGGATAGTGATCTTGTAATAACTGTAGTAAATTTAGATACTGGGAAATCCTGGTATGACAGGCTCATGACCACTATACCAGTCAATGGGCATATCCCACCTGAACCACATCTCACCTGGGTCTATTCACCTGCCACAACTTGTTTTTTATACTGGATTTTACCTCCAGAGGTGGTGCTCAGTGATTTCTGTAGGACCCAGGGTGACTCTACTGGCATGTCTTCTATGGGGCTCCTCCCCCCCTACACCCCACCCCTTTCTACTAAGATTGTGCCTGCCCAAGCTCCAAAAAGTTCAGAATTAGATGTAATAAACTTATTGGTATCTTCCAAGAAAATAAGCCTCACTTCACGTCTAGTAACAAATACGGTAATTGAGGGAATTACTAAGGAACTACAGAAGCTTCCACCTGAATGTTACCATTTTGAATCCAACCCAGCATAACACAGATTACAAGTTATTCCCAGGTAATCAATGTTTTTAGGAGTATATGTAATGAGTTGGGGGGATCTCAGCTCCCACCTCACAAGTTCACTGCACATTGATTTACAACTGTTGGCAGACCCAGCAGAAAGAACAAGTCATGCAAGGACGTTTGAAACTGAGAGAGCCTTGATTCCGCCTGTCCTGATGAAGGCTGAGTCATGTTGGTAGTTTAATATAATGGTACTTTTGGTTAAAAATAAAAGAACTTCATTTACTAGACCTAACAAACCTACGCATTTTACCACCAAATCCACAGGATTTTTTAACTGATCTTTATAGTTGCATACAAATTGACTCAGTCATTTTCACTAAATGTCACAGATGGAGCTTCACTAACTTGTCAGCTATATGGCAGCTCCTGCCAGCAACAGTTCGTGCTTGCCATGAGCTTCCAAACTTTCTTTTGTACTTAATTCCCAAGAGAGCCAACTCTTCCAGAAATAGTCCTTTTTAAGGTTTGTTCACATGTTGGTGACTGGTATCTCCTGTCCTCCTTACCACTCACTAATGAATCTGCAGGGCTGGGGATAGAAAGATAGTAAATCTGTGATCAGTATTCCAGGATCCCAAACCCTTAGTAAATAAGGCTCTAATCTTAAACACATGCATGATTTTAAACATATACATGTTTCCACTGAAATTAAGTTAAACATATAAGAGTTTGTAAGATAATATTCTAAAGATGAATACAGCCATGTTATCAAGAGAGAAGAGTAGTTTATGATGAAAGAAATCTAAGTGATATATTTATTGTGCTGAGCGGGGGAGGGGGGTAGTTTTAAACTAGGACACAGTGGGCACCTCTACACAAGATGCTACATTGTCATTGCTACTGCGCAGTAGGGTTGGAAACGACTCATGTGCTGTCAGGACTCTGCAGTAACCACCACTACTGCTCAGTCATTTAGTACTTTCTGGGGCTAAATTTAGTACTAAATGACTGTGCAGTAATAACTGCGCAATAACAACTGCACAGCTGGGCACATGGGTAGACACGCCAGCTGGGGAAAACTGAAGTAGTGGGAAACACTGAAGAAAGGGATGAGTTTTAGGGCCCTCTTCCTATGATTTAGATCCACCCCCTGTAGAGCCCCCAACCCACCCCATGAAAACTTTCCCTGCTCCAACCAGCTCGCACATGTTTTTGTCATATTTAACTGCTCCTATCTGTAACAACTTAAGCCACACTTCATGTTGCACTGAGGCAGATTTTATTTCATCCTTACAAATATGTAAATGAGACCTGTTTTCACAAATTCTTGCAAGATGATTTTTTTTTCCTGTCCTATTTTGAGTGCAACAAAATGTATTTCTCCTACAGCCACCAGCAGGTTGCCAGATCCCCCAAACCCTGGGGGTATCCCACCCCTATTGCAGGACTCTACCTGCTAGCACTTGGGATTCACAGTCATGAAACCTTTTCTACAATTAGAACCCATGCCAGCCCTTTCTCACAGCACACAGTCAGAGGAGATGGGGTATCATAGAATCATAGAAAATGAGGGTTGGAAGGGACCTCAGGAGGTCATCTAGTCCAATCCCTGTACTCAAAGCAGGACCATCCCCAACTAGATCATTCCAGCCATGCATGGGTGACTGGTGCCTCCTGAGTCAAGAGGGGGCGACTGGGGGTGGGGGGTGCCCTCTGCGGCTGACCCAAAAGGGCCAGGGGTGCTTCTCCTGGTGCCCCCACTCTCCCAGCCATCGCTTTCAGGAGAGGTATCTGCCCCCTTGCTCATCACCTAAGTGGGGAACACTGCCTGTGCAGGGGGTGCATCAGCACTCTCAGGGGGTGCACGTGCACCCCCTATATGTTGCCACTGCAGTCAAGGCATTGTCTAGCCAGGTGTTAAAAACCTCCAAGGATGGAGAGTCCACAACCTCTCTGGGTAACCTGTTCTAGTGCTTTACTACTCTCTTCATGAGAAAGATTTTCCTAATATCTAACCTAAAGGGATAGCAGTCCCCTTTCATTAACAAGTTCACTGGTTAATGCAGGGCTGTCCAACTTCTAATCAGCCAGGTGCCATGTGCCCTGCAAGCTGAACAACAGGGTTTACATGCCATGCAGGCTGCACCAATGCAAACCATGGATCTGAGCTGTACTCCACCAGGCTACCCGCATTGCACTGCATAGGCAGTGCCCTGGCCTCACCCCATCTCCCTGGCTACAGGCTGTCCTACTTCACAACAGTGCTCAAGCATCCTAGACTGAAGACTCCCATGGCACTGTGGCCTGTGCCACATTTTTCCCTGGGGTGAGGGCAAGAAGTGGGAGCTCAGAGAGTGAAGCTGCTGCCACAAACAAAGCAGTGAGAGGAGCAGTGGCTGGGTGGAAGTCCAGGTGCCACAGGACAGCTGTGGATTAATTCACTCACTGGAAACTGGAAGACCCTCTGCCTGAGGAGATTCAAATCCCCACCTCCCAGCAGAGAAGTCTAAGCACTCTGGAAAGAAGAGGGAATTTACAGTTCTTGTTAACATTATTCTGCTTTGCATAAGCTACTTCTGTATGTATTGGTTCCAAGAGGGAGCAAAAGTAATGATGACTCATTAGCTTAGTGATTAGGGCATTCTCACAGGAAGTTTATATTTCATTCCTCACAAGTGGAGAAGGGTACTGAACCTTGGTCTCTCCCATCCTCAGTGAGTGCTCTAAACATTGAGCTGCTGGTTACAAATAGGGCACCACTACCACCATCATGTGCTTTGTGGACTAATCTGACCAGATATAGAAGGTGAGAGAGGTGTGAAAAGGCCAAATTTATCTATCTTGTCAGGGGTAGGAGTGGACTACGTGCCTGAAGCATACATCACAGTCAAGACTAATGTGCTCAGCAGTAGTGAAGACTAGAATACTAAAAGAATTCTACTGGTGAAGACTAAAAGATATAGGGGTTTTAGGTGCCAGGTGAGGATCCCATTTTGGATTTAAGGACCTAACAAAGGAATTAAGCATCTAATTCCTTATGTGGATCTAACCCCTAATCTTTAGTCTGTTTCTGAGTAACATTAAGTAAAATGTGTAAAAACGTACCTTTCTGCTTCCTTTGTGTATTTGGATACAGAATTATATTTGTTAAAACAAGGTCCCCCCCACCCTCCAGAAGTGCACACTGTGGCTGGGAGCCAGCCCCACCCCCAGGGGGCAGGGGGGACCCACATCCCCAGATCTGTGCATGGGGCAGGTGCAGGGTGGGTGCATGCTGTGGGCTCATGCTCCCCACCCTGCTGTCCTCCCCCAGGGCCTCCGCAGTGCAACATGTGCAACCCAGAGCTGCAGGGCCCAGTGGGGCCACACAGGAAAGCTGCTTGCCACTGCGAGCTCTGTGCTGCCCTGGCCACACTTCTCCTGTGTGCACGGGCGCAGCATGGGCAGCAGTGCAGGGTTGTGCCCCTTGCTCCTGCCCCTGCCTGCAGGGGAAGTGTGGCCAGGGCAGCACAGAGCTCGCAGCAGCAAGCAGCTTTCCTGTGTGGATTTGCTGTGCCTGGCCACACTGGGTCATACACGCTGCACTGCGGACGCCCTGGAGGAGGGCAGCAGAGCTGGGAGCATGAGCCCACAGCACATACCTGCTCTGCCACCATCTCCTGCACAGATCTGGGGGATACAGGTCCCCTTTGACCCCTGGGAGTGTGCATTGCCACCAGAAGCCAGTCTCACCCCAGCCTGAGCCTGCAGTCGGGGAGCCAGCTCTGTGCTTCTTCTGTTGCAGCAGTTGCTGCCTTCTGTTGGGGGCAGGGAGCTGCAGACCTGGGTCCCTGGCCCCATAGCCCTGGCAGCTGGGGCCCCCCCTCTGGCAAGGCTGGGAGGCAGGGGCTATGGGTGGGGGGCAAGGGGCATGAGCAGGGCTGTGGGGTTGTGGTGGGGGGGAGTTAGGGGCACCAGTTGGGTTGGGGGGCCTGTTGTGGAGGGAGTGAGGGGCATGAGCAGGGCGGGGGGGTGGGCTGTGAGGGGCATAAGCAGGGCTGTGGGGGGCCTTTAATTTTAATCATGGATTTTGGGGTTCTAATCAGAGAATTTGCATTTTTTTATCAGGGAAAACCAGGATCCCTGGTTATGAGTCTGTGAGGTCTTAAGCCATTTCAGAGGGGTGTGGTCAGTTATTAATGTAAACTTCTGGCCACATAATGAAAATACTCTAGCCCCCATTTTATGGCTAGACAGTTTCACTCTACAGTGACATACCTTTGTTAGTGAGTGTAAGCGGTTGGTGGCGTGCCTCCTAGAGCTGAGTTGCCTCCTTGCTGGAATAGTTGTGTTCTGTCCTTCAGAAAAATCTTCTGCCATGCCTTGATGTTAGAAAAGAGAGGTGCAAAAACAGTTTTGTGAGAAAATGGGGTTGGTTATAGGCTCAGGGTGACATCTTATCTTTGTAGGGCTCCACCATCCCTATAGCCTTCCCTAACCACACCAGATGTTCTGGGTGTGATGTTACTCACCTATGTTACTGAGGGTCCTGTCTTAGTCTTATGGACTCCTTTCCTGAGCGGTCCTCCTCTAAGTTGGCTGCTTGCCCTGTTCTTCCCTGCACAGGTCCCAAGGTAGCCACTTCTTAGTTCTAATCCCACCCTTAACCTTCAGGGTCAGGATGGACTTACCCCTCCTTGGGGTGTAATCCTGTCCGTATCTCTTTTCCTCTAGGTCCCCCAAGAGGTTATCTTCACCCCTCAGGACAGTACTCACCGACAGAACAGTCTCCTCTGTGTCTTTGTTGGCTCTCACCAGGTAAGTCTGGGATTGGGGTTTCCCCCAACCCCAAAGTTGTTTCTTTCCCTCCTCAGCTCTCGTTGTCTTCTCTCTCTCCTCCTCCTTCTCCCATTACTCAGATCCAACCCAGACTCTCCCTCAATGTCCCCTTAAATTTCTCTCCCGGTCAGCTGGGTCCCTGGGGCAGCCTCCAATTCACTGCCTTCCCAACCCAGCTGTTTCCCTTTTAACTTTTTGGCACGGCTTTTTCTTTTTCTTTGGCTGCGTCATTCTCCATCTTGGGTTTGAACCCTGGCAGCTGGGTTTTGCCACATCAGCCTTTGAACTGCCGTGGCCCCAGCTGGTTCCCTTAATTAATCAGGCCATGGCATCTTTCCCGCCCTGGCTCACCACGGTTTCCTCAGCATCTCCCGGTAAGTTTCTTTCCTATGTTTTAATACTTGCACTCCTGTGCCAGGGTGCTTCAGCCACCCTGTTACAGTGAGAATTCAACTTGTGGCTGGCATAGGCTATGGGCTGGTCCACTCTGTCCATTTCTGGGGACAACACAGCTCCCATGGCATGATTAGAGGCATCCGTCTGACAAACGTAAAGCTGTGTGAAATCAGGAGTCTTTAGGACCACATCAAGGCACAGTGCTGTTTTCATTCTCTGAAATGCTTGGAGGCGTGATTCATCCCGCTTTATAAGGTCTGAGCTTTTTCCCTTCAAAATGTCTGTTAATGGTGTGGTCACCTCCCCCGAAATGTGGAATAAAGTGCAAGTAGTAACTGGCTAGCCTGAGAAAAGCTCTCATCTGTTTTCTAGTTTGGGGCAGGGGGTAGTCTCTTATGGTCTCTATCTTATCAGCTAGCCGGTCGGATACATCTCTATCCCACTGAGAACCTGAGATATTTGGTCTCTGCCTTTCCTAATACACATTTTCCTGGTTTGGCAGTTAAATCGGCTAACCAGAGTTCCTGGAGGACTGCCCAAAGGGCTTTTAGATGTTGCTCCAACTTGTTTGAGTAAATGATGATGTCGGCCAGGTAGGCTGCAGCATATCTTTGATGTGGGGCTAGTGCCCAATCGATTAGTCTTTGAAACATTTCCACTGCACCATGTACACTGAACGGCATGCGTTTGAACTCATAAAGACCCCATGGAGTGCCAAAGGCAGTTTTTGCTTGATCATTCTTTTGTACTGGCACTTGCCAATATCCCTTAGATCAGTCCAAGGTGGATATAAATTTTGCTTGCCCTACCCTCTCTAGTAACTTGTTAATCTGTGGTATTGGAAAAGCATCAAATCTAGAGATAGCGTTCAATTTTCAAAAGTCTATGCACAGTCTTAGTGATCTGTCTAGTTTTGGCACAGCCACTAAGGGGCTTCGCCAGCGGTTTTGAGATTTGGTGATCACACCCTGAGCTAACATTTTATCTGTTTCAGCCCTTATTAGGTCATATTGATGGTAAGGGATCCTCTGCCATTTCTCCCTTACCACTTTGCCTTTCGGTGTGATAATGCTGTGACTTACTCCCTTTGTGGATCCAAGAATTTTGCTAAACACATTGCAAATTTCTTGTACTAGCTGCTCTAACTACACCTTTTGTCCCCCCCCAACAACTGGGATCCTAGACAGATATCCTTTGTAAGTCCCCATTCTTCTGTTTTTTTTATTTTTCTCCTGCTTTACATCTGATCTCTCTCTTACTGGGGTAGATAATAGACCCTTTGTTTCTTGCCATAACCTTAGCAAATTAACGTGGTAAATTTACTTCTCTTTCTTGTATCCCCAGTTGGAACACTTCTGGGCCGACTCATCTCACTATCTCAAACGGCCCTTGCTAGCATGTCAGGAACTTACTAATTGCACTGGGAAGGAGCACTAACACCTTTTGTCCCTCACTGAGCTTTCTCGTCTGTACACCCTTGTCATAACACTCTTTTTATTTCTACTGAACTCAACTGAGATGGTCTCGAGCAACCTCTCCGGCCCTCTGTAGCCGGTGCCTCAGTTCTCATACATATTCAGAGGGTTGTGGGCTCATAAATTCTTCTCTTTCCCAACCCTCCTGTACTATATTTAAGAGTCCTTGAGGCTGATGTGGTGTACACAAGCTCAAATGGGGCAAACTGCATGGAAGATTGAGGGGCTTCCCATATGGCGAACAAGAGTGAAGGCACTAACAGGTCCCACTTATGGAGCTCCTCTTGGGCACACTGGCACAACATATTTTTAAGGGTACCATTAAACCTCTCCACTAACCCATTTGTCTGGGGATGATACACTGCCATCTGCAGGTGCTGGATTTGAAGCACACTGCAAAGGCTGCAGATGACGTGTGACATACAACTAGTCCCCTGGTCAGTAATTATCTCTTTGGAAATGCCGACCCTCGATATCCACTTCAGTATTTCCTCTGTTGCCTGATGTCCTGTAACTAAGTGAAGTGGGATGGCATCTGGGAACCATGTTGCATAATCCATTAGGACTAGTATAAACTGGTGTTCCGCTGAACTCGGTAGTGGCTCAACTGTCTAAAGCTATCCGTGCAAAAGGGTTTAAATATTAAAAGGACTGGAATGATTTCATAGACATTAGGGGTGAAATGGACCTCAGAAGATCATTGAGTCCAGCCCTCTGCCCCAGGGGCAGGAAGTCAGCTAGGGTCAAAGGATACCTGCAAGAAAAGTGTCCAAATGTTTCTTAGAAGAGTCCAGAGTAGGTGCTTGCACCACCTCTGGAGGGAGTCTATTCCAGGCCTTCGGGGCTTGGACAGGAAAGAAGTTTTTCCTTATGTCCAACCTAAAAAGGTTTTGGAGGAGTATGTGACCATTGGACATTGTCATCCCTTGAGGTGCTGTGGTGAACAGGCATTCCCCCAGATCCTGATGCACATCCCTTACATACTTATAGGCTGCCATCAGGTCATCCCTGAGACTGGGTTTTTCCAGGCTGAGGAGTCCCATGGCTCTAAGCCTCTCTTCATAAGGCCTGTTCTCTTGCCTTCTAATCATGTGTGTGGCTCTTCTATGGACTCTCTCAAGCTTCTCCACATCCTTCTTAAATTGTAGAGCCCAGAATTGGATACAGTACTCCAGCTGCGGCTTCATCAAGTCTGAGTACAGCGGGAGGATGATATCCTGAGATTTGCTTGAGAAGCATCTATGGATGCAAGCCAGAGTTTTGTTTACTTTACCAGCTGTGACATCACATTGGTGGCTCATGTTCATCTTGTGGTCAATCATGACCCCGAAGTCCCT